CACACACATATACATATATATATATATATATATATACACATATTGATTTATTACTATTTTACATTATATTTTATTATATTATAATACATTAATATAATAAATAACAGTAACAATAATTATTTTTATTATTCAGAAAAATAATTGTATTTTATAATTATTTCAATTAGAGAAATTTAAGATCAAAACAATAAATACTATTGTACTGTAAAACAAAATAATACAATTATTAACATTATTATTATTGTTATTATTATTATTAACAACAGCAACAACAATTTTAATAATTATTTATAACTATTTAATTTTATAGAACAACAATAAAATTAATTACTTAATTACTTTGCTTTCAAATGTAAAACTACAGAGCACTTATTTTTGGTTGAAAACTGCTAGGAGACCTTAAAGCTTTTCTTTTGTTGAGGACAGATTTATGGACGATTCTTATTACAAATTTGGTAATGTTTGAACCGAACAGACACTAAAAACACTGGATTCATGAGCTGCTTGCATGTAAAAGAAAATGTCAACGCTTGTTAAGTGTTAATTTTGGACCCACGCTAAAATGCTACAGCAGTGTTTTTCTCCTCTGTTTTATGGAACTCATGTGGGTCATACTTCAGGTTAGAAAAAGTATAATGTAGTGTAAGGTCATCTGAATGAGAGGTCAGACAGGAAGTCACTCACTCCTCATTGAGGAAGTCAAAGGCTTTGGATTTGTCACTAGGCAGCTGAGAGAGGGTGCTGCTCCTCTTCTTCACCGAAGGGACGACGTGTGAGGTGGGTGCGTTGTACTTCATGTTAACCGGCGCATCGGGTTTTTTCGCTGTGGTGCTGGATGAAGAGCTGAAGAGCCTGCTGAAACTGAGGGACGTGGGGAGAGAGACACACAGACACAGAGACTCATATGCGGACACAAGCGCAGCAGCAGTTAGAGGTCAAAGGTTAACCGTTATGGGATTGTAGGGTCACGTCCCAAACATGTGCCAAGCCCTTCACACAGTCCTGCGACAAACCACTGACCCGACCGTCAGATATCTAACCACGACCAAAACACGCAGACAGCACATGCTGAACACCTGATCACTGCAAACAAACCTTCTCTGAGGCGCTTCCTTTCTGTATTACACCATTCAATACACTGCTGTTCAAAAGTTTGGGATGCTTTTATTCATCAGTGATGCATTAAATTGATCAAAAGTGACAGTAAAGACATTTATAATGTTATAAATGATTCTATTTCAAATAAATGCTGTTGTTTTTAACTTTCTACTCATCAAAGAATCCTGAAAAATAAAATGTATCAGTTTCTACAAAAATATTGGGCAGCACAACTGTTTTCAACATTGATGATAATCAGAAATGTTTCTTGAGCAGCAAATCAGCATATTAGAATGATTTCTGAAGATCATGTGACACTGAAGACTGGAGTAATGATGCTGAAAATTCAGCTTTGATCACAGAAATAAATTACATTTTAACAAATGCTCACAAAAAAAAAAAAAAGTTATTTTAAATTGTAATAATATTTCACATTTTTACTGTATTTCTGATCAAATAAATGCAGCCTTGGTGAGCAGAAGAGACTTTCAAAAACATTAAAAAGAAAAAAAATCTGACAAACCCCAAACTTTTAAATAGTAAGTGTATAGTTGTTTCAGAAAATATGAATAAATAACAAAAAAATTGAAATAAATAAATAAAAACTACGATGTAATATTTTGGTCTGTTTTTGTGTAATTAAATAATCTTAATCCTAAAGGCTTTTAGAAGGAGCTGTTAGCCAAATGTGACCTGAAACTCGTGAATAAAGCTCTTCTATTATTGCACTTCATCAAACCAAACCATGCACATCCTTCCACAAACATTCAAAGATCTAAACAAACATCTGATATCTGTTTAGGAGAGCTCTGTCCCCTGACCCAACACACCTTCTGCAAACACACAGGACAACATGAATGGGGTTACAGAAAACACAGGAGCACACAAGAGGAGAATGAATGGGTTTAAAATAGATGCAAAACCTTAAATGCCCCCAAATGCAAAACCCCATCTAGACCAGCATGACCTGGGAATGGCATTTCAAACCAACAAAAACAAGCCCCCCGCAGGCTGCTTACTGACACAGATGTGCCAAATCTTTTAAAAACAAGTGTAATGAACGCTTGAGCATTAGTAAAGTTTAATGTAATGTTATGGTCTGGCTGTAAATTCCTGTTATGCTTTTGTTATACCGCTGTTAAAGCTTTAAAGGAATCCCATTCCCATGTCCAAGAACAGATTTTTGGATCCAAGGATCAAACCAAGTGCAAGATTTACTAGGATTTCTAAGATTTACCTACATCCTAGAAGGAAAACAAATAAAAGAGGGACATAAAATGAGAGGGGGAAAACAACGTTTGAACGCCAAACCGCACAAACTAATATAACACAACTTTGAGGAGAACAAAAAAGGGCTGCTTACAATTGCCAGATACTGGACTTTTTCTTCTCAGTCAAGGCTGGATTCTCTCTTGATGCTCTGCATTGAACGAAACACACAGTTGAGTCGATGCAGGGCAGAGCTGTGACGGTTTGAGCACTGAGATTACAGTGACTGACCGTATCATCTCCGTCCACCTGACGGCCTCCTGCAGCTCCATCAGTCTCTCTTTATACTGGTTTCTCTCCATCAGGACCCGGGCCATCTCCACCCGTGTGAAGCGCTTCCGCTGGGCCGTCGGCACGTCACTCTGAGAGAAACACGGCCTCTTATTGTTCAACACAGTAAAACTGATCCTTTGAGATAGTATTGTCTAAAATACTGTGTATACATCAATACATCTCTGCATATAACATATATTTGGGAACACAACGTGCACTTATGATGCATTTATGTTTCACATTTGCATAATTTCCCCAATTTTATGCAGCATTTCACTTATTTCTAATGCGAAGTAAAATAATTGATATACTTGTGAAATATTTATTTTATAGCGCAGCTGCATTACAATAGTAATATATTTGTCTTAGAAACGTTATTTTTTTTATCTCAATCTCAGACAGCAGAGTTTCAGTTGATAAGAAAATACTAAAGCTTTAGGGTTTAACTCTTGAAAGTCGTGCATATTGTAATTTTGCTACAGTAAAAATTTATATAATTATTATAAAAAGTATTTTTTTATTTTACAATGCAGTTGTATTAAAATAGCAATATTTTTCTGTCTTAGAATTATTATTATTAAATCTCAGCAATTTTAATTGATAAGAAAATATTAAAGTTTGAGGGTTTAATTCTTGCAAGTGAAGAAATTAAGTCATAAGTACTGTAATTTTACTACAGTAAAGTAAAAATTATATACTTTTTATAAAATATTCATTTTTCTATTTTGCCATGCAGTTGTATCATAATACTAATATTTTTAACAATTATTATTATTATTATCATCATCATCATAGAGTCCCAATCTCAGTAGATTTGAAAATACCAAAGCTTGAGGGTTTAACTTTTTCAAGTGAAGAAATTAAGTCATAAGTACTGTAAATTTACTAGTTTTAAGTAAAATAATTATATACGTATGAAATATTATTTTTTTTTATTTGACAGTGCAGTTGTATTACAATAGTAATATATTGCTGTCTTAGAAATATTATTATTATTAAATATCATACAGCAGTTTCAGTTGATAAGAAAAACTTTGAGGGTTTAACTCTTTCAAGTGACATTAAGTCATAAGTACTGAACTTTACATAAATAAAAAATGTATATACATTTATGAAATACTCATTTTTTTTATTTTACAGTGCAGTTGTATTGCAATAGTAATATATTTCTGTTTTAGAATTATTATTGTTGTTGTTGCTGCTGTTGTTATTATATCCCTATCTCAGATCTTATACTGTTGAAATGTTTTGCCCTTAATTTTGTGGCAATTTGTCACAGTGGCATCTAAAATGGTACTTAATACAGATATATTCAAAAGTATTGTATTGAAGTTAGGTTTTAGTATCGCGACAACACTAATTAAAAAAAAATTTGCATCAGTAATCGTTTGGCATTACATGTTGACTTCCTAAACTGAAATCTAATGGAACGGTGAGGAGTCTAATGCTCTTCAATCATAATCCACACAGCATCCAAACTCTTGCTTACATCATCGTCCTCTTTCGTCTTCACTTTGGCTTCCTCCAGCTCAGCTCGGACTCTGTTTGGACAAAAACACACAAGCTTCACTCACACACAAAAAAAAAAATTGTCTGGATTGCTGATATATGTCTCTGTGTCTAATGACAAACTTTTTGAGCTCCTCCTCCAGCTCTCTGTTCTTCTCCTCCAGTTTGTCTTTGGACTGTCTCAGGACCTCCAGCTCCCCCTGAAGAACATCTTTTTCACACACCAGCTCATCCACATGAGCGATCAGATCGTTCTTCACCACATTCAGAGCGTTCCTGCAGCAAACACAGTATTTAGACACAACTAAATCTACAGTATAAGTTATTAGTTTGCTTTCTGATTTGAATGTGTTGTAAAAGAAAAACTCCTTACATAGACATTAAATATGTATTTCTATTGCTTGATCCTCCTTGATTGTATAAGACAGACAACACACATACAGCAGGTCCAGTCATGTCTGATTCACAGGCGATTTACTCTTATGAACCAATTATTTTCAATGAATCATTCAAAGACTCACAATCCAGTCCCCAACTAATAAGGTATCAGTGAAAATGTCTTTAATTGACTGAAACGCCATTATTACTTTCAGTCACATCAGACATGAACTGAACCAAGAATTGTGTACTTTATATTCTTCATACTGATTTCATACTATCATTCTGTTGTAATAAATGGCATTTGAATCTAATAAGACTTGCAAAACAAGATCACTGCAGTCATTTCTACTTTTCAGTCCAGTTGATATGATTTTCTTTCAAGCATTGCTGTAACTCCTTTAAAACAGCAGATGGCAGTAGAACCATTGCATATGGAGTAAATATGGACTAAATACAAACAGTTTGGCGTTTTCACAGGCCACATACTAATGCCATATTATGACTTACTTTGTCACATTCAGAGCGTTCCTGCAGCAAACACAGCAATGCAGCTTCAAGAAACAGAAATCTGTGTGTTTTTAATAATTTATTTAGACACAACTAAATCTACAGTATAAGTTATTAGTTTGCTTTCTGATTTGAATGTGTTGTAAAAGAAAAACTCCTTACATAGACATTAAATATGTATTTCTATTGCTTGATCCTCCTTGATTGTATAAGACAGACAACACACATACAGCAGGTCCAGTCATGTCTGATTCACAGGCGATTTACTCTTATGAACCAATTATTTTCAATGAATCATTCAAAGACTCACAATCCAGTCCCCAACTAATAAGGTATCAGTGAAAATGTCTTTAATTGACTGAAACGCCATTATTACTTTCAGTCACATCAGACATGAACTGAACCAAGAATTGTGTACTTTATATTCTTCATACTGATTTCATACTATCATTCTGTTGTAATAAATGGCATTTGAATCTAATAAGACTTGCAAAACAAGATCACTGCAGTCATTTCTACTTTTCAGTCCAGTTGATATGATTTTCTTTCAAGCATTGCTGTAACTCCTTTAAAACAGCAGATGGCAGTAGAACCATTGCATATGGAGTAAATATGGACTAAATACAAACAGTTTGGCGTTTTCACAGGCCACATACTAATGCCATATTATGACTTACTTTGTCTCCAGTAGCTGTGTGTTCTCATGGATCAGGTGTTCGACTTCACGACCCATACCTACATGACAGCAATACAAAGCAGATTTCATGTGACAAAAAATACTCGAGCACAGATCTCTGAAAACCCCACGAATGCTGATTTGACCATTTATGAGACAGAGAACACTTTTCTGGAGAATAGAAATGATCAAGAAATCATGCTTACCAAATAAATTAAGGTCTGAAATTGGCATGCAAACCAAAAAACAAGGAAAGGGTCAGTCAATGACCAAAATAAATAAGAGTGACACTAAATTACTAAGGATCTACAAATAAAAACTGTTCTAACACAGTATCTTAACCAGATGCAATAAAAAAAAAAAGCAACAATGAATTTGTCTTAACCAGCTGCGACAAGCATTTTTTGGTGGCTTGTTTTCTAATGTTGTCGTCTTTTTTTTTGCTTTAGTGTGGACAGACAAGTTACTTGTTGCTAGAAACCTGTCGTGTCGCACCTGGTGAAGATACAATGTACGGAAATGAGAGGACAAAATAAAGAGGAGTGTAAACATACACACCAGAGAACTCGTCTGGGGGAAAGAAAAGCCACAAACATGGAGGAAAAACAACATGATTAGATGGGCTGTGAACGTCAGTGAGGAATGATGGGCTTAGATAAGATGATGAATAAAAGTAACTAATGACTGATGTCTCCACTATTAGAGGAGAATGACATGAAGGAAAAAGACACAACAAACATGCAATTTGGACTTCCATAGAACTCAAAAGTAGACACTTTGAGTCAGTGTTATTTTAGTATCATTGAAATACTATTACAGTTTTTGTTAATTTTTTGCATTAGATTTTATTTTTATATTTTCTATTTAATTTGAATGGAATTTTTAGTTTTTGTGTCATTTTTATTAGTTTTTTTTTTTATATGCCTGTATAGTTTTTATTAATATTTTGAATTAAGCTTTTTAATATTTTCTGTTTTCATTTAAATTGTAAATTTTTATCAAATTTTTAGTGTTTTTGTCATTTTTGTATTAGATTTTTTTATATGCCTATTTAGTTTATATTAATATTTTGCTTTAGCAATGTTTTAGCAATTTTTATAGTTTTTTTGTCAATTTATTTGTTTTTCATTTTTAAATATGCCTATAGTTTGTTTTAATATATCAAGTTAAACTAAATGAAAATTATAAAATTAGTTCAATTTTTATATTTTATGTTTTATCATTTCAAGTATTGATTTTTTTTTAAAGATATTTTTAGTTAACTATAATAACCGTCTTTGAATCATGTGCTTTCAAATGTCAGACAACAAAAGCACCAATACAGTAGTTTTGACATTTCAAGTATTGATTTTTTTTTAAAGATATTTTTAGTTAACTATAATAACCTTCTTTGAATCATGCGCTTTCAAATGTCAGACAACAAAAGCACCAATACAGTAGTTTTGAAGTCATATGATAACAAATCTAAATCGCTGTTCACTGATAGTTTTCCCCTCCACGGATCTTGAGAAGTGGATCAGTTTGATTCTTAAACCAATCATTCAGACCAGCTCTGTGAAATGGAAGAACTATTTTAATCAATAAGATCCGGTTTAAGAGAACAATTAATTCATAAGTCAGATGTCAGTCTTGTGAAGTGCAAGGAAACTATTAAAAAAAAAAATTTAAAAAAAAAACTTAACTCAGTCCGTTCCAAAGCTACTGTATGGCTTCAGAGGACTTGGAATGTAGTCATTGACTTATATGATACTTTTATCGAGCATGAAAGCCTCAAATATCATTCACTTTCATTACATTGATGAGTGGCCAGGATATTCTTCAAAAATCCATCATTTAAGAAAGAAAGGAATTCACACAGGTTTTATGAGTAAATGTTCATTTGTTGGTTGAACTGTTCCTTCAGTTTAAGGCAGAAAGCATGCTGATCTGAGCTCTGGTTGACTGAGAACTTACCCAGCAGATCAGCGCCTTCATCCACGTCTCCTATGAGATCGGTTCCTGCTGATGAGAGCTCCTCAAAGAGAGAGTCAGTGTTACGGTCAAAGGCCATGTTCTCGATGCCTTTAGTGGGAGTGCTAGAAACAAACCAAGATGAAGAACAGACATAAGACAGAGAAAGCCGCTTCGCCTAACAATGTCCAGATGGTTGCTGAAAGTGCGTATGGAATGAAGATCCTCTGAGAGCAGAAAACATAAGCTGCTGGGTCGGTGTGATAAGGAAAGCACTGTGAATGAATGATTGAATCAGTGTGGACGTACCTGGAGCCTTTGCATCCACTCAGATCCATGTCCAGCTCTGGTGTGGACTCAATGATCGCCTGGACCTCTGATCGCTCTGCATTCTCACTTTGATCGGCTCCTGAGCACAAAGATGTATCAGTTAGGTGCGTTTCAAATGGTCTAACGTGTTAAAATTCATCTGTATAATACATTATTTAACTTTCACACTAGAGGCTTTGGTGCAGACAGTGTGATCGTAGTTTGAACACATGTACATCAAATAAATGCAGTTTGTTTCAAAAGGGGAGCTGACATCATTTTAAGTGAGCCACTTGAGAAGTGGATCAGTTTGATTCTTAAACCAATCATTCAGACCAGCTCTGTGAAATGGAAGAACTATTTTAATCAATAAGATCCGGTTTAAGAGAACAATTAATTCATAAATCAGATGTCAGTCTTGTGAAGTGCAAGGAAACTATTAAAAAAAAATTTTTAAAAAAAAAACTTAACTCAGTCCGTTCCAAAGCTACTGTATGGCTTCAGAGGACTTGGAATGTAGTCATTGACTTATATGATACTTTTATCGAGCATGAAAGCCTCAAATATCATTCACTTTCATTACATTGATGAGTGGCCAGGATATTCTTCAAAAATCCATCATTTAAGAAAGAAAGGAATTCACACAGGTTTTATGAGTAAATGTTCATTTGTTGGTTGAACTGTTCCTTCAGTTTAAGGCAGAAAGCATGCTGATCTGAGCTCTGGTTGACTGAGAACTTACCCAGCAGATCAGCGCCTTCATCCACGTCTCCTATGAGATCGGTTCCTGCTGATGAGAGCTCCTCAAAGAGAGAGTCAGTGTTACGGTCAAAGGCCATGTTCTCGATGCCTTTAGTGGGAGTGCTAGAAACAAACCAAGATGAAGAACAGACATAAGACAGAGAAAGCCGCTTCGCCTAACAATGTCCAGATGGTTGCTGAAAGTGCGTATGGAATGAAGATCCTCTGAGAGCAGAAAACATAAGCTGCTGGGTCGGTGTGATAAGGAAAGCACTGTGAATGAATGATTGAATCAGTGTGGACGTACCTGGAGCCTTTGCATCCACTCAGATCCATGTCCAGCTCTGGTGTGGACTCAATGATCGCCTGGACCTCTGATCGCTCTGCATTCTCACTTTGATCGGCTCCTGAGCACAAAGATGTATCAGTTAGGTGCGTTTCAAATGGTCTAACGTGTTAAAATTCATCTGTATAATACATTATTTAACTTTCACACTAGAGGCTTTGGTGCAGACAGTGTGATCGTAGTTTGAACACATGTACATCAAATAAATGCAGTTTGTTTCAAAAGGGGAGCTGACATCATTTTAAGTGAGCCACACACAGCACCATTTATGGAGAATAAACACAAAAACTGTGATAAATCATATAATTAAATAAATCATGCATCTCACTGTTTTGCTTTTTATTGCCTTAAATTTAATTAAACTAAATTTCAAGGCTTAAAATGGAAACCCTGAGCAAAGCAGCGAAAGAAGAGCATTAACGGGAGGGAGACAAATTGCATTTGGATTGTCTACTGTGACTGTGACATTAGGAGTCACCTGAAGATGCCACAGCATGCTGTACGCCGATGTTCTTACTGCTGTCGGGTTTAGCGCTGCTTGAGCCCAGGTTCCTGTTCAAACCCTCGGCCTCCTCCGTCCGCGGCGTGTCCATCGCTACAGCTGACGTCGCTGCAGACATGGTCGTGCCGGATTTGGACTCTCCCCTACCGGCATCAGAAAGTTCATCCTGAAAACAAACCCATCAAGCATTACCAGCAGCATAAGCAATAAGCACGGAGTCATATCAAGTATATATGAATAAACAGCCATCGATCGCACTTATGTGCTAAATGAGACTGGGTACGGTTCACATTAATCATAAAGACTAACACAATATCATCACCTCATGCTCTGCACACCATGCTCTTGTCCTGCGATGAGGACAGACATGCTGCATGCAGATTAATTTAGAAAGATTGTTAACTGGCTTTAAGTAATTAAATTAACACTGACCATACTATATAGCAGAGATAAGCAATCTTCACTTACATACCAGAAGTTTGGACTAAGAATTTTTTTTTTCTCATCAAGGATGCATTAAATTGTTCAGGAGTGTCAGTAAAGACATGCATAATGTTAAAAACTAAAAATTCTATTTTAAATGAATGCTGTTCTTTTAAACTTTCTGTTCATCTGTGAATCCTGAAAAATAAAATGTGTGATCGTTTCCACAGAAACGTTCAGCAGCACAACTGTTTTCAACATTGATAATAATCAGAAATGTTTCTTGAGCAGCAAATCAGCATATTAGAATGATTTCTGAAGATCATGTGACACTGAAGACTGGAGTAATGTTGCTGAAAATTCAGCTTTGATCACAGCAATAAATTACATTTCACAATATATTGACAGAAAACAGCTAAATTGTAATAATATTTTAAGTTGTAATTATATTTCACGGTTTTTACTGTATTTTTGATCAAATAAATGCAGCCTTGCTGAGCAGAAGAGACTTCTTTCAAAAACATTAAAGGACTGATGATCAGAGAGAAAACGGCAGCAAACAAAATATATGATTTTTGAGTCTACATTTTGAACATTCAGTTGAGCTTTTACCAATATAAATCATGACAGAAAGTACAAAATTTGAGTGGGGGAAAAAACACTGACACACAAAACACGCATGATTTAGTGGCATTAAAAACAATATATAAACTTAAATAAATATTCCAGGTTATTATTCACTGGCCTTTTTCCCCCAATACAATGAATAGAGACTGAAGCTTTAAATAAAGTTATTTCAAGCTTCATAAAAGATACAAAAGCACCGTAAAGATGGTTTACACTGTTGCTATTTTGAGAAGTTAGAAGTTGAAAATAACCGGGAATATTATTTGGACCACATTGAAAATTGCAAGTGAAACTGCAAGCAATAACATCAACCACACAGATGCTGACTACAACCAAAACTACAGTTTAACTCAAACATCACCAGGGATATTGACTACATTTGTAAGCTATTTATTTGGTACTCACTCCCATGAGTTGACCTATATGTTGTTTAAATGTTAGTATGTGGTTGCAGGCAGCAGTTTGTGGACTATGAATGCACTTTTCACTATCGATACAAAAACAGTAAGGGGTGTGGAGACGAGCCAAACAGAGCACACTACACACTACGCTGCAGCTGCCACGGAGGTTATGGCAGGACTAGCAGACTGGACTACCTTACTGGAGTCGCTCCACTGGGTTTCCAAATTCTCCTGTGAACTCTTACCATCCCCTCTCCTGAGGGATTCATTCGCCTCCAGCTGCCCAGAGAGAAACGTACAGTAAGCAACACATAGGTAGAGCAACACTGCCCCTTGTTTCTGTTTATCATGCACTCAGCCAGGTGGCTGATGGGAACTGCATGAGCATTATATAAAAAGAAAATCAGGTCAGTCCTTCCCCAAAAAGCATTAGGAGCCTGCTTGTCAAATCCAGATTAAGCTGTAACTACAGTAAAATGAACTGTAGGCCAGGATTACACATAATCCCATGGTCAATCAAAAAGCATGACAGACAGTTTATAGGAAACTTTGTGTATTTTATGGTGGACTTTTTAATGGAGCCAGATTGAACTAAAGCTTTAAAACCAACATGAAATAACAATGGGAACCCATTTTAATTTCCATAATGTGATGCATTTCAGAGTCAAACCAGATACTCAGCGAAGATACACTTTTCAAAGTCAAATGTCCAGTGTGTGGCGATAAAAATGAATTTTGTTTTATCCAAGAGATGAATGTGAATCTGTTTTTTTTTTTATGTTGGTTGTTGTACATATCACGACAGTTCAGAAATGAAAAGCACTAAAAGGTTAATGTGGTATCACATTTTGAACCCTAACCCGACCCCAAAAGCTAACCCGATCATGTGATTACAAAAGCAAATGTGAGATAAAAACACATTCGCTGAATCAACCATGTGATTTTATCTCGTGTTTTAATGTACTCGTACCCAAGCGCTTCACTTCACAAGTGCAATGTTGTACCGGGTGCGTTACCGAGCAAGTTTACTGGGTCAGAAAAGACAAACATATGAAGTGGGTTATGAGATACAAATATCAAAATGTATTAGTTTACAAATCATGCACTACAATAAAACTGTTTTGAGCTCATAGGATAGTATTGCGCAAGGAACTATGCGAAAATAAGTCTTTATTAATCAATAATCTGCCACTTTAATCATAATTTGTGTGAAAAGGAATAAAAGCTTGTGGTGTTTTACTGCCACTCGTGTTCATTTCAGCTAGAAACTGCGGTGAATTGTATGTATATGTACGTTTTTTAAGTTTTTCCAATGAGCCTGAACGCTCACATGCTCCGAATGTCTTTCTCTATTGACAAAGAATATCAGAAGATACATGAGTGAAAATGTGAATGTTGACATTTCTTGTTTTGTTTGTTTGTCTACACAGAAGAAAAACAGTACAGTGGCAAATTTGGCAAAAATTAGGCCAGTTTTCGAACTCTGAGGCCGCTGCCCTCCAGCTCTTCAGATAATGAGATGTATTATTAATGTGACTTTTCAAACAGCACTACACCTGGTGACTGGGCTCTATATAAAGAACCAAAGCTCTCATTATAATCAATCGGTTATGGAAGTACAACTAATCCACAGGGAGCGGCAGGGACCGATAATAGGTTTTACACTCCTGTTTGGAAAGCACAAACTTCAAAGCGCTCTTTCTTCTCCCTGACATATGCGCACAAGCCAACAAAAGCACAAGTGCGCACACACAAAACCCTGGCTGCAAGATGCTCCCATACTCTCTCGGGTTTCCATGGCAGCATGTGCCCACTTTTTCTCAATGTGGCAGTTCAGAGCTGTTTAACCTGAGGAGAGGCTGACAGCAAGTGATGGCCTAGTAGGCTCTCAGAAGCAGCAGCGCTGAGACTCTGGGGGATGATATGGAGAGAAATGCAGAGTCACGGAGCGCACAAAGGCCAGTCTGTATCAGTCCACAGTGGGAGTCTGATGGAGCCTTTGTGCTTCTGAAACTCAGACGACTCACCAGTGGCCTTGATGGGGTCTTATAATGAGAAATCAAATATTCTTTGATCTTTTGAAATAACAGAGCTTGATGTACACCTACTGTGACTTTCAGAAGTCAAAAGACTGCATTAAAAAGGGCTTGAGCTTTCACAACTTTTTGACATCAGGCTGATTTATGCATCAGTGAGTCACGATGAAGTAATATGGATGAAGCAGAAAAGATAATATTATTCATAAACAGATAAGCTGCCAAATGATGGGCTGTTTCTGTCTGGATGTAGCACCTACTGCTCTGCACTTTCTTCCAAATGAATTGGAAAGAGTGGTTAATGTTCATTTTAACAAAACAAACAATGCTGTTTGCACACTACATGAAGATTATCATATAAAATACTGTATATTTTAATATAAAAATATTTTTGCCAGAACTTTTATTTTGAATCTTCATTCAGTGTGCGTAAACAGCATTGATTGTTTGGTAATAAGTCTTATTAACTGAAATAATAAGTTTGACAATGCAACAACACTTTGTTAATTATCAGTCAATTAGTCAATCTTTAACAACTCCTCTGATTATTTCAGCTAATTGTAACACCAAATACTCCACATAAAAGATCACAGAGCTCCACACACATGACATGCAGGGGGAAAAAACAAGATACAGTGGCCATGAATTAACAATTAACTCCCACAACTTATTAATTTAGATAAACAACCCTATAGTGGACATGATTTAACTGTATATGTATATATGTATGTATACTGTATGTCTATGTATAAATGTATGTATATGTATATATGTATGCATATGTATATTTTTTTCCTTCATGTCATGCAGAGGGTTCTGCACTTTTCTATGACTAAGTAGGAAAAAAAACAGACTTATTTATATTACAAATAAAAAAAAATTTAATATGAGGGAATGAATTAAAAATATTAATGTGTGGCTATAATGTCTATTTTATCTTCTGGATGTCATGCACACACACACACACACACACACACACACAAAAGAAATTATGTTCTCGTATCTTTCAAGATGAAAATAGAAAAGCAAGTAGGTCAAATTGTAACAGAAAAAGCAGTCAAGAATATTTTTGCACACAAACAAGAATTAAGTGGAAAATATAGAAGCAATACTTGGTATATGAAAAATAGTGAGACATGGAACTGTAAAGAAGTGCATATAAAGTGGAAAAGAACGAAATCTTCATTATGGGGGAGAATAAAATGAGGTGGTACAGAAGTAAACAAGGATTTCTGAGGGCGGAAATGCTCATCACACACCATCAGACTCCAGCAGTGTAAGCACTCTTCTGCTTCTGAGAGCTGAAATATGACCGTCATCCTTCAAAAACTCCTGCATCAGGCTCAACATTGAGACAGGCTTCAAGGTCAGTCTATTCTAAAACGTGAGAGATTGACATTGCCATCGTTGCTGACAAAATCAATGTGAATCAGGGAAGAGGAAAGGATTCAGATCAGTCTAGTGGTCAGTCAAGATGGGTTTTCCCAATGGCAGATTCTGTAACTTCTACATTTGTTACTCAAAATCTTCTGGGTGAGAACTACCCAGTTAGGGAGCACATGAGTCAAATGGTTTGTTTGTCTTGAGCTTTGAGAGGGTTGTGAACATTAACACGGCAGGAAGAGGTTGATGGCAAACGATTACTTCATTAACATGAATATGTATGAAGGGGCCTAGTGCATGTATCTCTATGGGAGATGGAAGGTTCCAGAGCAGGAAAAAGAGGATGTTTTGTAATGCTGAGAACTGACCCAGGATCAGCCCTGGCCTGTTTGTCTGGCTCTTGGCCCTGTTAGGGCTCTGTTTAAGCATGCAGGGCACAGCAGGTCCTCAGAATGAGCTTCCTTCCCGCTGGCAGTGCCGCTCAGGCTTCTTAAACATATGTTCTGCGCAGATCCATTCAGAGTGAAACTCCCTCAATACAAACTAACGGTGTCGTCATCGCTTTTACTCCCCCCAAACCCATGTTCACTTTCTGGGAAGCAGATAACAGCCTGCTCTGGGTGCTGTTGTCAACAGAATAGCACTGATGATGACAACATGATGATTCGCTAGTGGGGCTGGGAATTGGCACACATTTTAAAATTCAATGCGATTCACAAGCTCTTGATTTGATTTGATTTGACATTCATTCATTTGGATATATATAGGGCTGTGTGATAAAACGATAACCATAATTATCGTTAGGGCTGTGCAATTAATCGAAATACAGTTTCGATTTCGGCCTCCAACGATTATGAAAAGACAATAATCGAGATAAAACGATTATTGTGCCCCATTCCGCCCCTTTTCCAGCGTTGCGCTATCGTTCCTCCATAAAAGCCCAATTTCACATGCAAATCAGTAAAATCATGTAACGTGACTTTTGCAAAAAGGCATGTGCTTGCTTTATTGAAGTGTATAAGATTTATTCATGGTTTTAAAAGCGCTAAAGAGAACTTGTGCTGTTCCTCTGGAAGATTTCTGTGCATGCGCTCCGGAACAGAACATGGACATGTAAAGTCAACTTTAGGTCAAGCTGCGCAACTAAATGGTCAAATACACGCAAAAATGTTTTAAAAATGCGGCGCTTCGTGATTATTCATGTAAACCTTCATCGGTCATGTAATAAATGAACAAACAGTTGAGAAAGAAAACACATATGTAACGGTAAAATTGGATCCGTGCGGCTCTTAAAGTGACAGCGGCTATATTCCTGCTTTGACTGTGTGCTTAATATTAATCAAATAACAAAAACAAAGACAAAATCACACACTGCTCTTGAGTGAAGGACTTTTGCAGCTTTAATAAGAAACAAAGAAGTTCAATTCTTACAGTGAAGACTATATATGCGGTTTTATTTTACATTTGATTATTCATTTCTGTTAAATGAATACTTGAGACTTAAAAAAAACCTTAAAGCACAGTTTGTTTCATTTGTATCTTTTTATTTTATTGCATTTGTCCTTTGCTTTTTTTTTTTTTTTATTACCGACAGTTTAATTATTTTTTTAAATAATTGAGGAATTTTTTGTTTATTACCGACAGTTTCATTATTTTTTTTAATAATTTTGAGGACTTTTTTGTTTGTTACTAATATCAGTTACCCTAATACTCTGCTGTGGTATTGAGAATTGTATCGTCATCATTTACCATGGATTTACTGTAGTAACACTAACTGCACCATGCTATTGTGTTAGAAATGTGGGATATTCATATGGAATTTTATTATATTATTAATGTAGACATAAATATATTAAAGGAGTAATGGAATATAACTACATTATTTTTTGTGATTAAGTTGTAGCATTTGTGCATTTATACTAAATGTAGATTTAGATACAATTACCTAGAAAATATATAGTTACATTTTTAACCATGGTATTGAGGTGCGTTGGTATGTGTGGTTTTAACTGTGGTGATCATGATCTAAATGTATGCTCCTATGGAAGACCAATGGTTAATTAAAAGAAAACTCAGTCATAATAATTACATTTCACCATATAAAAATGAGGATGTTACAATTTTTACCGATGTGACTGTTTTTTTATAATAAACATAAATTTACATCTGCAAACTGTGCTGAAGACAGTCATCAAAGTCAGGCAACACAAACCTTTTACGTGATTTGACACAATATCACTCAATATCACTATGAAAGTTGAGACTTTCATATCAAAAGTAACAAAGCACAAAGTTTATGGTGATTTTTGGATGGCATGTGTACTGTAAATAATATTTTGTTACGGTTCATTCATGCATCAACACAAAACAGCATAGACTAAAAGATTGATCTTGGGATTTAAGAATCAATATTGGTTAATCGAGAAATCAACTGTCAACCCAGTCCTACTCTATTTTAAGGAATATTTTAAGGCTTTTTATATATTTAAAAATTAGGCCTTTTTTTACCATACGCTCCCAAACTAGGGATGTAATATAAGTAAATTATCTGCAAACCGGTGTGTTTCTCACCTTAAGGCTGGTGTTGGAGCGCGGGTGGCTGATATTGTTGTATCTCCATGTGTCCGTTCCTGGAGTCTCCACAGCCTCCCTGTGCAGATCGGGGGTCATCACATCACTTCCCGGCAATGAAAAAATACCCAGAGAGACAGGACGCTCCTTCCTGAATACACACAAAACATACGATTGAACACTTAAGCAAGAAACCTTATGGATTACATAATGTCTTGTATTCCGATATCAACAGAGCATTTTTCGCAGCAGCTCATATCAAGTATTTGGTAGACATGACACTATACTGCTACCAAAACAAGAATTACATTGGCTTAAACTAGATTTTTATTCCATTTTCTTCTTCTGACCATCAATTTGCACTGGCTACCAGTAGCTGCTCGCATAAAATTCAAGGCATTAATGTTTGCCTACAAAACCACCACTGGCTCTGCACCCATTTACCTAAATTCATTACTTCAGATTTATGTGCCTCTAGAAGCTTGCGTTCTGCAAGTGAACGACGCATTATTATATATATATACCTTGCTACGTGTACTGCGTTAGGCTAACCGAGACTTGTCATTTGCACTTATATATTGTTGCTCTTTTGTTAGTTTTGACTGCTTTTATTGTCCTCATTTGTAAGTCGCTTTGGATAAAAGCGTCTGCTAAATGACTAAATGTAAATGCTTTCGGACTAAAGACTCACTACCACTATGATGGTACCACTACAATTGGACTGACAATTTTCCCAGTATTTCCCAGTAAGGAGTTTAAAGGGGTTTCTAGGGTGTTTGGAGAGGTAAGTAGGGTGTTGCTAAGTCAAAAAGCGAACTCAAGTCTTTATGACATTAGGGCCTTTCGCACCGCTTTAGTTCCAGAACTAAATGTACAGTACTAAAGTACTGGGACGATTTTGCGCGAACTATTTCCCAGTACCATTTAAAGGGTTGCATTCGCACCGAGAGTGTGTACTAAGAAGTGACGTAAGCCAGTCGACAGCGTCGTCATTTGTGCGCGGCGTTCAACAACAGAAACAAAGAAAAACAACATTAACAACAGGAGGATGGAAGACGCTGTGATCGGACCAGTTGTGCTGGTTAGACCCTGCTCCGGAGTAGGAGCTAATTTGGTTCTCGAAAAAGGCAGTCCGGTACTAAAATCGCACCCAGTTCCGGCGGTGCGAAAACGCCAAAAAGTGGGTAGTTCCACAATTAGTTCTGGTACTATGAAAAGGTTCCCGCGGTGCGAAAGGCCCTATTCTGATTCTTCCACATCTCAATGCAAGTCTATGATATGTTTTTGTCTGTTTTGGGTGTAAGAAATATGAGCAACAGCAATAACGAATTATGAACTAAATAGTAAACATTATAGATTACATAATGTCCTTTATTCAGATTTATTCAGATATGAATGGAGCATGTTTTTCAACAATTTCATATCAAGTTTAGGGTGGAGATGAAATCATATTGCATTGGTTTCACTGCATTTTTACACAGTTTTTTTTTGGCAAAAAACTCATTGCCACAGTGTTACAACCGGACTGACAACATTCCCAGTAGGTGTTTTAAGTGGTTTCTAAGGCCTTTGGATCAGTGACAAGCCAACAAGCCAACATGAGTCTTTATGCTTTTCTGATCCTTATACATGTCTCAATAGAAGTCTATGGTGCACGTTTTCAGGTTTTTAGATTTAGGTGCATGAAGTATGTGCCTTAGCAAACAGCACAAACATCAGAGCTCCTCTAGGAGAGCAGAGGAGCGTTTGATTGATGGGGCTTTTCTTTTGTCTTCTCTGATTGTCTGTCTTCCTGTTGTGGGTTGCCATAGAGCTGCATTCAGAGCCTGAACCTGCTGACTGCACATTCAGAGCGGCTCTGCTCACATGAGCAGGATTCACTCTATTCAGCTGGAACAGTACAGTAAGGAAAAAATGTAAGCACAGGTTTTTTTTTGCCAAATTTGAGGAAGTGTGAATTTCAACTACTACCACAAAAATCTGCGATAACGCAACTAATCAGACGTGCTGTATCTCTACAGAGGAACAAGCGTCCCAAAAGTCGAGTGCACCTCAGTGACGTGTGTTAAGTGAAAATAAAAGGGAGTAAATTAATGCATATCAGAGCTTCGTACATCAGACAGCTCCATGAACGCACATCAATACTCATGCTGAAGGCAAAACCTTGCGTAATCACACACGTCAGAGGACACGTAGTGACAGTCACATATGTCATGCAATAAAGGTTGAGTTGTAGAAGTTCAGGTCCGAAGTTCAATTCATGAAGAGCTATTACAGCACAGGCAGTTTCTGTTTCAGACTATTTATAAAAGCAGAACCAGAAGAAATCCTGGAAGAAACTGGTCAAAAGCAACTAATATGATGTTTGCATTGGAACAGCAAGCCAAGTCCAGTTATCTGCAACTAAATTATACAAAAGCTAGATGAAAAAGATGAATCTTTGATGGGTTCAGAAGCAAGAACAGTTTCCCTTTTATCAAAACACAGAAAGCAAGTATTTCAATTCTCGCGATGAAACAAAGCAAGCTGCTCTCTGGAGTCAGGATAAATTAGAGGTAGTTAACAGCAGGATAACAAGCTTTCTAAACAATCAAAATCACTTTCAAAATCTACTGAAGTTATGTTAGCATATCACAGTCAGAAATGGCTATTTGTTGAATATTAAATCACATTTGTATCCATTTTTTATTACCCAAATTATATTTATCAGTCTTTAGCTTTGCTCATGAAAAGAAAACTATTGTCAGCTTTACAGAATTACCCACTGATAGTACAATAAATATTAACAATTAAAAAAAAAGTCTACTTTGGAAACTTATTTAAACTTTTGTGACACTGTCATGACAATTAAGCACATTTTGACCTCCAAGTCATTTTAATGATGTTAAAATACACTATAGTTCAAAAGTTTGAGGTTGGTAAGGCTTTTGATTAAGGAAGTCTCTTCTGCTCACCAAGGCTGCATTTATTTGACCAAAAATACAGTAAAACAGTAATACTGTGAAATATAATTACAATTTAAAATAGCTGTTTTCTGTGAATATGTTGTAAGTGTCCTTTATTTCTGTGATCAAAGCTGTATTTTCAGCATCATTACTCCAGTCTTCAGTGTCACATGATCCTTCAGAAATCATTCTAATATGCTGATTTGCTGCTCAAGAAACATTTCTGATTATTATCAATGTTGAAAACTGTTGTGCTGCCCAATATTTTTGTGAAATACTGATACATGACACTGTGATGCATTTTATTTTTCAGGATTCTTTGATGAAAATAATTTTCAAAAGAACAGCATTTGTTTGAAATAGAAATCTTGTGTCACATTATAAACAGCTTTACTGTCACTTTTGATCAATTTAATGTGTCCTTGATGAATACATTTAAAAATATATATATTATATATTTATCTGACGGTAGTGTTACAAGTGTAGGGCTCATTATTTTTTTTATTTTTTTTTATTTTAAATATTAAAGCTCAGGTTACAATGTATACATGTTTTATAATTTCAATCACCCGAACAGGACACCACAAACATGAAACCTGCTTAACATCTCCAAACAATCAACAGAAAGCTCTTCAAAGCATCAAACAATATCAGGTGTTCAATTGGAGCTGTACTGAATGCAACTCTAGTGCACTAAGGAAGTATGGAAGCACAGAACAAAATGAAGCCACACAGAATAAGTGAAGCCACAAAGAATGATATGCATTTCTCTGACAGAACACCAGCAAAGAGACAGAACCCTGCACTGTATTGACAAGAGAAATGAACTCTGTGCTGTGTGACTCTCAGCTCTGCCGGTTCTCGCCGCATCAATGCTTGATCCACTCTTGTTTACTACATTCTCTCGACTCGTCTCAAACACGATGAACAAGCAACGCAGTAAAATACAAACACAGACTGACAGAAATGCAGGGAAAACAGAAGCTTAACTTGAAGAGGATATGACAGCCAGTGAGAAGAAAACTAGGCATCATCCACACACACATACTGTCGCTGCGTACCTGCTGATGCGGGGCAGGGAGTGTGTGATGGCGGGCAGGCCGTTAGAGACAGAATAATGCACCAGCAGCAGAACGGAGAGAGAAACCAGAACGGCAGAGTTGATGACCACCGCTCCCCCCACGAAGCCAAAGACAAACAGCAGCATGCATCCCGGACTCATGGCTGCCTCCACGCACTATGGGCCGCCCGCTGCCCCCCGAAACGCGAAAACAATCCCATCAACACCGGCACAGCAGCGCGAGGATCAGAGTGTGTGTGTGAGCGCGGCTCTGCAGCCTCTCACTGCTGTGACATCATCCACACGGCGAACGCGCGCACACACACACACATACACATACGAGCGGCTTTGCAGCAGCTGTCTTTTCTTGTGTGCTGCTCACGCACTCCTCTGTTGCCTAATGAACAGCTCTTATGCACTGATTCTGAATGCGTTTTCTGGTTTCTATCCCACAGCTGATTGGTTGTGGGAATAGATGCGTATATGCAGATCAGAGAGAACAACAAACATACTCTAGCTTGTCTCCAGAGAGCACAAAAGCCCAATCCACCTGCTAACAAGCATGAGGTGAATCAATCCCTGACTTTGAAGTGCATGTACTGTATTTATGCAGTGTAAAATATAACAAAGTGCAACTTGTTTTATGGCATTATGCTATGCGTTTTCCGGTTTCTATCCCACAGCTGATTGGTTGTGGGAATAGATGCGTATATACGCAGATCAGAGAGAACAACAAACATACTCTAGCTTGTCTCCAGAGAGCACAAAAGCCCAATCCACCTGCTAACAAGCATGAGGTGAATCAATCCCTGACTTTGAAGTGCATGTACTGTATTTATGCAGTGTAAAATATAACAAAGTGCAACTTGTTTTATGGCATTATGCATATTAAATACTGCAAGGTTTTTCTGTCTTTAACACCACTGAGTATAAAACTATGGAAGTCATTTCTGCCACTGAATAAAAAAATTAAAAAGTAATTTTCATCTCGCAATTCTAAAGTCGCAATTGCAAGAAAAGAAGTGAGAATTCTGGATAAAGTCACATTGCGAGAAATAAAATCTGAATTGGGAGATATAAACGTGCAATCATGAGAAATAAAGATAGAATTGCAAGATGTAAACTCGCGATTGTGAGAAATAAAGT